CTTATGTTAACTCTTATTTATTGAGCGGTGCCAGCCAATATACTTGGTACTTTAAATTTATCTAATATTCTCACAACAATGCTGAGTTTATTTTAACCTTTTTACAAAAGGAAGCAGAATCAAAGAACAGTAAGTTGCCTTGCTAATAAACATTAAAGCTATTAAAATTTATCTTTTGATCCCAAAATCCTTTTTATTTTTTTAATCCTTACCTGAGGACATGCTTCGTGATTTTAGTGAGAAGAGGAGAGAATGAGTGAGAGAAACATCAGTGTCAGACAGAAACATTGGTTGCTTCTCTTGGCATGCCCTGACTGGGGAATAAGCCCACAACCTAGGCATGTGCCCTGACCAGAATCTAATCTGCAGCCTTGCAGTTTGCAGGATGACACTCCAGCCAACTGAGCCATAACCATCCAGGGCCTAGAATCCATTTTCTTTACATTCTGCAACTTGTTACAAATCATAATTGTCATTATATAGCACCGTAAGTAATGAAAAGGCCTCTAACATTTTTTACAGGCTTCTTTCTCACATATTTGGTCTCCTCCAGCTGTGCTTGGGTAGAGTGTTGAGCTTTCAGATTTCATAAAAATAAGTGAAATGCTATCCACCAAGTATCTGTATTCTCCAGGTTAAATCTTTTAAAAAAGAAAACAGTAAAAGTGGTTACTCCTTAGTAAATGCCAACCTGAAGTGTAAATCCCAAGTTTGAGGAACACACTGATCAGGCTTATATTCTTAGTTCTTTGTGGACATTAAGTTACAAACATATCTCAGAGTGAATCTTATAAAATCATGTTATATGTACGAACTCTAAACTTTCTAAACAAAAAGCAGCAGGCTGGTTAATAAAATTTAAGTTGGTTCCTGAGGAAGTCTGAAAGATGGTCAAATTTGAGGCAGCAGCAGTAGAAAAAATGTACGGTATCTGAAATGCTGCCAGCAGGAACCTTTGCTTCTCTCCGCCCTTTCCGCTGTTAACTGCAGGTCACGTGGTGAGTTAGATCTCACGTGACTTGGTTAAAGCTCTTCCTCTCAGCTTGCAGGCGGGGTTGGGGGGTGGGGAACACGGAACCGTTCACCAATTAAAGCTGTTACGTGTACTAGTACGCTATTGCCTTGTTGGATTTTCTTGTTCTCTGCTGCTACTGTAAAAAGAAAATGAATGGTAAGATTTGCTGGCTGGTTTGAACATTCTGTTTTTATTTTAAAACAGCATTGAATTAAGCTAAGGTCATGGCGTGTGTGTGTGTGTGTGTGTGTGTGTGTGTGTGTGTTTTCAAAAGCTGCCAAATCTCGTTATAAAAATACTTTAAACTGTTGCCGCTTATTTATAAAGGATAAGACTCTAGAGTTGGGCTGATTTTACATTCCACCAAATATTCCTTTCCAGTGAATTTCTTTTACTAGGTTTTTTAGAACTAAAATCTGAAAATTGGCATCAGATTATTTGGAAGCCATTGTTATATCTTGCTTATAAAGAGAACGTGTAGTAGTGCATCAGTAGCCCATTTCATTTTAAGAATTTAAACCCATAAATATATAGGTTCATTTTTAAAAATTAAATGTGAACATCTGCTAATAAAGACAATAGAACTTATACTAGCTGAAATATCTTTTAATATGTTATTGATGTCACTTATAAGGAATTGTTGCCGAATAGAGTTTTCCTCTGCTGAAAGATTTGAGAATTGGAAATACGCCCTTAAAAATAATCAATACAATAGCTCTATGATGACTTGCGGCAGGTTTTGCTCAAATCATGTAGATTATTCAGAAGCTGCTAGATGTATCTACAGGTATTCAGATACAGCCACTCTTGTGCATATGGGCATTTAAGTGGTACAGTCTGTAAAAGATTTATCTTCTTTTCTTCATTGGAATAAGACCTTCCTCAGTGCTTTTAATTAGGGTCTGTAGTTAATCTTTTAGGACTTCCTAAATTAAAAGGTATTATTGGTACTAAGAAGGTAATCAGACATTTTCATCAAGAGTGTCGGGTTTTAGGATTTTGCTGCTATAAACAGTAGCAGCAACAAAAATGTGAACATTGTAGTTCCAACCCTCAATACTTGTATGTACTGTGTTTATACAATCAGTTTTACATAAAGTTCTGTGTTCAGTGTTAATTTACACCAGTATTTCTAGGTAAAAGTATGGTATCCCTGCTTTGTCTTTTTAAAAAATATGATCGTGTACCATTTCTGTCTCCAGATAAGAAAATTTACTTGCTAGTGTGAAATGTTATTTCCTAGGGAAATGAGTTAATCATTATTCCTGCACTGCAATAGTAATGTATTTACTGTTGGTTTATTGTGGGTTGGGTTTGTTTTATTCTGTTTTCAGTATTACACTTAAATATAATTAAAGGGTAAAGTAGAATTTCATATGACTAGATTATGAACTGTTTGACAGCTTTTAAAGTATAATATGGTTGGAATTACAATTACATAGTACTTACCTATTCATATTTTTAGTAAAAGAAGGGCAGCCCAAAGCAGCTATGTAGTTGTAGAGGTTTAGATTTCATCAGCAATAACTTTTTTACTCTAACTTTTTTACTCTGATGACAAAAAGAAAAACAAAAAACACTATACTGATAGTAGAAGGATTTGACAACACATGAAAGGAACTACAGTCCTGAAGGAACGGGGGAATAGATAAATGTTGAATTCCTTTATTAAGATTACAAACAAAGTTTTCAAGGAATTCTTTTTCCGGTTCGCAGCTAAATTTCACATTGATGAATAGTATCTGTCTAAGCCAATTCTAAAGATTCCAAAAGCTAATTCTCTATAGTTTTATGTAAATTAGCTAATAGAAGTAAACCAGCATTCGTTTAAAACTCTTCTCATTTTCTCTGGAGTCCAGCAAATAGAAGTTAAAAGGTAAATTTTGGATGACGCCTTTCTTACTTAGAGGTATAAAGAACTTCACAAGTTTTACTGAGTAAATCAATAGGTAGTATCTTAAATTTAGGAAAACTTTATTGTTCTTTTCTTGTTTTTCAAAGATATAAAGATTGAGGCCTTAATTTTATAAACATGCTTATGTCTCATATCAGTTGTCAATAATGCATAATATTTTAATGTTTCCTGAATATATAGTAGAGTTATATCCTTAGAAATGAAACTGCCTGATTTTGAGTCCTACTTCTACCATTAGGTAAGCTTAATCTCTCTGCCTAAATTTCTACATCAGGAAAATGGGAGTAATAATAAATTTCCCTAGTATATAAAAGGTCTAGTAAATTAGTATTAGTTATATGTAATTAGCTATTGTAAGATAACATTTTGAACAGCTTCATATATTTGGTGGGCTTGTTTTGAAGAAGAGTAGTTTATTGAAAAGTAATTTTTATAATTACATATAACATAGTATAATTTGGTAGTCTGCCCCCACCACATACACACACTCCTTATATCCTCTTAACCACTTGAGTGGTTTCCCTACCCTGTCTCCTCCTCTCTTTTAATCCCTTTTCTTTCCCCTCCCATTCTCTCTCTCCATTCCAGCCTTCTGCACTCCTTCCTGTCTTCTCTCTTACCATCCCCATTCTCCTCTTCCCTCTCCTTCTTTGCCCCTTCCTTTCTCCCTTCTTACCTTTTTTTCCCCTCCATTCCCTCACCACCACCCTCCCTTCTTTCTCCTTTTCTCCCTCACTGTTAAGTAATTGTCCTCCTGGATCCCCCTTTTTCCTACATTCTCTTTTTCTTTCCATACCTCTCACCTCCCTTTCCCTGCTCCCATCACCACTTTGTTGTTTGATCTTTATCCCTTTTCCTTTCCTAAAAAGAGAAGAGTGGCTATATCTTGATTTGCTGGCCACCTCCATGCTCTTTATTTTGTTTTTCTGATGTTTACTGTTACCAGAGAAATTTGTTTCTTTTCTGCCCTATGATTAAGCTTTTTCTCTCTTATTTCTTTTATAACTAAGATCCACTATATATGTACTGCAGGTTGAAATTCTATGTATAAAAGGAACTCTTTCCCCATTACACTCATCATCAGGCTCTTGGGCGCCTCTTATTTCCTTGGAGAAACCTCAAAGAGAAGGTTTCATTGCAAGTTATTAAAACTAGGAGCTGAAAGTACAATGGCATCTAGATACTGGGAAAAGGGGATCTGAAGGTGAGATTTTTTTTTTAAGTTAGGTAAAGCAAGTGGGGTTTTTATTCCTAAGAAAGAATCAAATACACTTTCCAAAAGTGCCTGTTTTATCCCAGAAAGGTTAAGAGAAAAGGTAAACAAGAGATATTTATAAAAGTTGTTTGGAAAAGATAACACTATAAAAATGAAAGGAAATACAGAATAAGAAAGCTGAATTTTCCTCTTTAAAGAACTTTTTAGTGTAAGAAACAAAAAATTTTCTTGGCTAAATATACATGTGTGGAATTTTTGTTTGTTCTCAAGCCCCCACAGATATGACTCACACATTACACAAATGGCTGTTTAACCCTAATAATGCAAGTTCTAAATTCCTAACTATTCTTTCTTTTGTTGACTTTTCCTTTTGACCTTTTCTTGATTTTTTTCCCTACTGCTTTTTAAATTTTCCCTTCAGTATCTTTTATTGATTTTTATATGTAAAGTTTGGTTTCATTTTCCTCTATTCAGTGTTTCTAAATTTGCACATAATAAGAATCACCTGGGATATTTGTAAAGTATATTGACTCAAGACCCCCATTTACTGTAAGCATACTAAATAAAAATGTTTAGAAGAGCCTGGGAATTTGTGTGTTCAAAAGCTTCCCAGCTAACTTATTATCACCAATCAAGTTTGAGAAATATAACCGCAGGTAAAGGGTAATCAGTCAGGGCACTTAATAAAATTTTACATTTTATAACAGTTGATTCATCTGAGTTTCTTTTCATAGTTATACAGTCCTTATTTGAATGTTTAGTTCAGATGAAATATTCAAGGGTAACTCAATTGTTTTCACCTTTAGCTTGCTAAATTATCCTGGCTTAATACATTATATCTATGGCCCATTCAGGTCCTGCTCAGGTTCCAATGATGTCTCCAAATGGTTCTGTGCCTCCTATTTATGTGCCTCCTGGATATGCCCCACAGGTATGTTTTTATGTTACTTTTCTTTTCATACCTATGTAATAGTGATCATAATGTTACTTTAATTTCAATTAAAAATACAATTTAAGTACTGAAACTTACCCTGTCCAGTATATCTTCAGTAAATCTTTCTCAAGTATTTTAATACATTCAGTGTATTTGGGAAAAAAAGGAAAATTAAATCAACAGCATTCATTATTTGTTTTTATTTGGGGTGTTGAGTTATAATAAAGAATTAATTCTAGAGATTTATTCCCTGAACATGTTAGTAACATAAATACTATTTTAAGATTTAAAGGTGCCTACACTAACATTTTTTAAATTAATTATTTGCTTAGAAGTAATGCGAGGTAATGTTTCCAACCTTACTTACACAGTGACTCACAGATATTCATAGTAACTGTATGATACATTGTGATAAATCAAAGAGAATTTGAAACCTGTGGATCTGCAACTCTTAAGGGCTAGGGGGATCAATATCAACACACATCTGTAAGCTTTTTCTATATGGGAAGCTCTGATTTAAGAATAAAGGACAGTACACATATTTGCACAGGAAAACTGTAAAATCTGTAGGTGTTCAGTTCCTTTAGCTTCTGAGATTCTGTGTAGTCTGCCATTGCCTCAAATCCTTTTCAAAGTACCCAGGTTTTTATTCCCAGCAATGAATCTATACTGAAGTTTTCTTCAGGCCCTCTTTTCCTTCCTAATTATGCCAGAATATTGGTGGGATATTGTGGTGGATTCACTGCCTACTCTATGAAGCCCACCACTATATGAATGACAGCAAAAGAAGACTATGCTAGTGGGGAGAATGGAAGTACTGTGAGAATTAGAGTCAGAAAAGCTGAATTCGTATCTAATTTTAAACCCTGGATGGCTGCATGGCCTTGGACAAATCAATGTCTTTGAGTCTCAGTGCCTTCACTGTAAGATGAGATGCTAACATATGTGAACGTACTTTGTAAGCTTTTCAGAAAAATATTCTGCTTACTGTCTGTACTTTAACACATGTACACATATACTCCTTAATTGTGAGAGTGACTTCCTCACGAGTCCTTCAGTGTGCCACGGACACGAGGATGAATATGACTGAGACATGAATTGATCTGCTTGGAGAGGAGAAGTGGGCAGTGGCCAGTTTCTCCAGGGAGACAAAGGCCAGCAGCAGCCAGTTTCTCTGAGGAGAAAAAGGCCCTGAGCACCTTCTTCCATAGCCTTTTATTGGGTTGTAGTACACAGAATACAGGGTGGCAATGATCAAACAGTAGATAACATTTCAAAGAAATCTCAGGGCTTGTCTGAGTCAGTGTCTGTTAGGAAGGGAGTTGTAGAAACTTTGGGAGACATACTCATTTCCTCTTGGACCCTTATATGAATGAAAGCACTCTTTACAAAGCAGATTTCACAGGTTTATCAGCAAGTCTTTTTGATGCCAGATTTTTCCCCAGGACATGCTCTAGCAAGGCAAGGAGCTGTACCTTTCCCCATCAGGTATTCAGGTTTAAGGGGATTAGAGCCAGGAAGCACTTCTCCCAGAGAACATGGGGACTCAGGCTTTGTCAAAGCCTGGAGTGGGGGGATAGTGGCACGAGAGTCCATTGCTCGTTGTTGCAGCTCCCCCCCCCAGTCCTTCCATGAAGGCCTCCCAAGTGATCAAGCCTGGCTTGGGGTGCCCCCTGCTGTGAGGGGTCTTACCTGTCATTGACTTCCCACCAAGCTTTGGGAGCAGGGAGAGGAACTGAGGCAGCGTTTGCTACCAGAGACAGGCTCTGTCTCCTGCGGCTGGCATTTCAGAGGTCATCTCTTGCCCTTAGCCACAAGGGGTTGAGATACAATTCCTAAAACCAGGCAGAGTGGTCTACAACACTTAATTTATTGTAGTGCTCATTCTGCCTCTGTTATGCAACTAAATCTCTTTGATATGTACAACCCCAAAGGCATATATTTTAACCTTGTCCTCTTTGACCGCTAAACATTTAACACCATTAATATGTGTTACCCCAGACTTCCTTGACATAATGCTGTCGTGATAACTTATTCACAGACCTTTCTTCACTTATATAGAACCATTCCTGGTTTGTTTGGGTTTTTTTCAACAATCATATATTGAATGGCACCATGTGCCAAGCTCTGTATTGGATGCTAGTGACAGAAAGATAAGTAAGACAAATTATTTTAGTGCAACTATAGGGTATCCTGCTGTTATCTCAGCTAACAGTACCTTTCATTTTTATTTTTCTGGCAAGTTCTTGACCTTCTCGTTCATGACCTCCTAGAAGTAGCTTTCCTTAGAATTTTCCAAGGTGTCTCTCTTTTTTGGGTTCTCCTGGCACATTGTATAGATCTCTCTTTAACTGAATGAATCACACTTTAGTTCATAAGTTCTCTTTCCTGAAAAGATAATGAATTCTCACAGTTCCCCATATTCAACAGTGTTCAACAAAAATGTATTGAGTGCTCATATATACCAGGGACTCTTCTAAGTGTTTGAGATATGTCCATGTATAAAAGAGGCACAGACCTCTGTCTCTCTGTAGTTTACATTCTTGTGAGGAAAAGCAAACAATAAGCATAATAAATGGATAAATTACAGAATGTGTTAAGTGGTAAGTGATATGGGGAGGAAAAGAGAAAATAAAGCTGGTTACATTGGTCAGGGTAGGTCTCATTTAGACAGGTGATATTTGAGCAAAATTTTGAAGGACAGATAAAAGTTGGCTATGCATTTGGGGGGGCCAGGGGAGAAGATTCTGGGAACAGGAACAAGCAGTTCAAATGGCCTGAAATAAAAACATGCCTGGGAGCAGCAAGGAGGCCGCTGTGGCTAGACTGAGTTCTCAGAGCAGAAAGTGTTAATAAATTAAGTAATGAGGTCAGAGAGATAAGAGGACCAGATAATTTAGCACTTTTACTCATATTTATTTCCTCAGTGCTGAGTACAGAGCTTGTTATGTAGTAGGGGTTCAATAAATACTAATAAATCAATGAAATAATCACCTAAATTGAGGTTTCTTATCTTCAGGCCAATAGCTACTAAAATATTCTTCCGTATTACTTTGGTCTTTTTACTTCTGTTATCATAAAGAGCCTTTAGTTGGCTTGTTCATTCAAGAAAGTCTAGATTTCTTAGATTCCTTGATATATAAGGCCTTTACACAGTTTGTCCTGGTTGACCTTTTTATCCTTTTCTTGATAAGTTTAACCATATATCCCTTTTTGCAGCCAAACATGATTATTGACGTGCTCACTTGATATTTTCCTTTCTCTATGATTTTGTTAATGCTGTTATCTGAGGCATGTTATTCATTCTTGCCTTTTGAAATTCTACTCATCTTTGGAAGACTTAGGTTAAGTTATTTTTACCACTTCTTGATGTGTTATATTCCACTTAGTATTATGATTATATGTATATGTATTTATTTTGTAGGATTTTAAGTTTCTTGGCAATAGAGAGTGGCTTTTAATTATTTCTGTTGTGTGGTTAACTCGAATATAGTAGGTATTTATAAATATTTGTCAAATAAGTGCATGGGCCTTAACAATAATCTTACTGGAAGGATTATGTGAGGCTAGTAGACTACTATTATCAATCTTAATTTAGGATTCTATAGGAAATGTATCATTTTTCATCATAGAGTAATCCAAAGACAACAATCAAATCTCATAGTAATTGAAATAATTTAAATGCCCTTTGTGTCAGAATGGATTCTAGCACATTGACATCACTGTGAAAACACAGTTTGTAATGTTAGAAAATACTTAAGAGCCAGGTTCTAACACAGCTAAGCACTTCATGATTGTCAAAATCTTGACATATAAGCAAACATTAGTTATGTTAGAAATTTAGGAGCTAGAGGTTGAGCCAAATATTAAGACACACAGGTAGTATAATAAGTATAGGTTGTATGTGGTTTAGCAGGAACCAGGTAGCACACATACTGAATGTATAAATAGCTGTCATTTATAGGTTCCTTTCTTTTATGCTGTGATCTTTTCTCATGGCAGCATCTTTAGTCACCTTCATCCCTTGCTTTTTGTGTATCTGTTGCTAAAGGCCAGTGACCCAAGGAGGGTCAAATAATGTTTTTGTTGTATCATCATGTGATTCTATATATACTAATGGGACTCAGCAAACTTATGGATTCTGAAAAGTTCAGTGAGGCAAACAAGGCCTACAAAACTACAAATCTAATATTAGGACTTTCTGGCTTTATAACTGAGGAAATAATACTACATACATACACCTAAGCGCATATGAGGGCAGAAAAATGAAAAATCCAAAGGACAGATAGATCTTAATTTAAGATTAAGGTCAAGATTTAATAAAAGTACCTATTGAAGAAACTTACTGAGAAATCATAATTTACCTAGGATATAATGAACCTTCAATTTTGTGATGTTTGTATTAATGATATATCCCTACTAAGTTCAGAACTACTTCAGGTTATTAACTCATCCATATATTTCAACTTCATTTTTTAGAATAATTTCAGGGTGTCATACGTTGAGTAACTTTGGAGGTAAATGGTTCAATTTTTCTCATTTGCAAGTTGCACAACCCAGACCTGCTGTTAAGATTGTCATCCTTTGTATTATATATTCTTTCCATTCTTATTTAAGAGTTCTGCAGTATTGTTTATTACATAACCATTATTCCATACTCCTCTAATACTGTAGCATTCTATCAACAGTAATGGGAATAGTGGGACTTAATTTTTTAATTATACACATAATTTATTGTTGAAGCAGAAAAATGGATCATCTTTTAAAAAAAAAAAATTTCTCCCCTAAGGATATGGTTATTGATTTTCAGAAAGAGAGGAAGGTGTGGGGAGAGAGACATCAGTAGGGCAGGGGAATGGGTGGAGGTGGAAGACAGTGTGGAATGATAAATGGTAACGGAAAAAATAAAATAAAAAATAATATATAAATAGCTATGGTACATTTACACAGTGGAATACTACTCTGCCATAAAAAAGAAGTTTTTACTCTTTGTGACA